ATTACACTTTCTGAACACGGAACGGTAGCACCAGTCCTGTCTGCCCCTTCCACTACCCCATCCTCTTCCCCGAACCCGACGCACGGTCATTATCGCTGCTGCTGTATTTGGGCCACATTTCGGTCTAGAAACAGGGATGATAATGACCGTGCGTTTCTAGACCCAAATACAGCAGCTGTATTTGTGGCACCGACTTACATACATGAAGAGACCACTGACCTGGACGCACGGACCAATGAGAACATGCCGTCTTTCGATTCCAGATTTCGAAAACCACTCTCTCCTTTTCTCTTCTTCTTCTTCTTCTTCTTCTTCTTCTTCTTTTCCTTTCTTTTTTCCTTTTTTTTTTTTTTTTTTTAATAACCTTGAGTCATTCTCCGAGAATTTAGCTCGAGGGAACATGCCATAGTTCGATTCAAGACCTTGCTAACCACTTTCTCCTTTTTTCTTCTTCTTGGCTTCTTGAGGGAACATGGCATCGTTGGAGGTACGCATCCCGACCCTGTAATCCAGCTATCATAGTAGAAGAAAAACTGTGAAGGCTACCAGAGTGGCCCGGGCTCACTTGCCCGGCCGGGCCAAAAAAAATAAAAATAAAAGAATTATTTTTAAATTTTATTTTTTATTCTAAATTTGGTGAAGAATTTCGATGTGACCCTGAGGCAAAAGTTGTTCAGTTTATTTTTCTGCATAACATAGTTTTTTTTTCGGATTTTTGGATTTTTCTTCTTTTTTTTTTTGCTGGGACCTTCCTTGGTCCTTGCACGGGCTGGCCACCCGGAACCCGGGCGGCCCGGCTGGTAGCCTAGGTGATCGCCGAATATATATTGTTACAAGAATATAAGAGCGCAAAAGCGACAAAAAAAAAAAAAAAGGAAAAACGAGGTATTCCAACCTTGCAGAATTCAGAAACAAGCACACAATTTTATTTTATTTTTTCTCGATTTATGCGTGTCATCCTCGCGCAAGGGCCATGCTATTCAGCGCGCGGCGCGCGGCCAATTATCGGCCGCATGATCTTCTCGATCTTATGGTAGAGATTGCTTCACGCCAAACCCACAATTTATCTTGACCGTGATTAAAAAAAAAAAGAAAACCTGCTTCCACTCTTGTCAGCCAAAAGAGTGGAAACAGAAAAAGAAGGAAAAAAAAGCAACTCTCTCTTTTCCCACTTCCAAAGACAACTTCCCACCCTTGGGTCTTGATGAGCAAGCAGTCCCCTCGCGTGAGGGTAATAATCAATCCTGCTCATCATCATTAACGACGGTTCATAATTGGCTCTCATTTTGTAAATGGGACGCTGGACCCCGTTTCCATCCGGAGCTCCCCCCCCCACCACCATCAATAGCTAAGATTGGATTCATCTTCCATCGGGATCGGGATTGGGGTCCTATTTGTGGAGGTAGCTCTTATCACCTCCACAAAGTTGGAAGCAAGAAAAAAAGACAACTTCGCCGCGGCAAGACGAGTTGACACCAACAAATAATCAAACTGATTGCGGTGACATCTGTCTCTTATACACATCTAGATGTGGAGGAGTGCGAAGGGGGAATGGGATTACGATTCAAGTTTTCTTCTGAAATGTCGGGACCGAAGGAGAAGGCGAATGTGCGCGCGGAGCGCTGGTATCGGGATCGGGATCGAGCAGGAGAAAGGGGGCGCGGCATGAATAGGGTGTACAAAACGTTTAGGACTGCAAGCGGAGGAGACGTGGCACAATCCCGATCGCGATCGGCGGTCGGCGGTCGGGGGGCGGGAGGCGGGAAAGACTGGGCACAATCGTGCGAAGGGGGGGCGAGATGGAGAGAGGTGAGAGCGCAGGGTCGGGATCGGACGTCGGGATCGCAGAGAATTGAGAGAAGGAGCAGGCGAGTTGGCAAAAGGAGAGAGCGCTGGGGAGCAGGGTCGGGATCCGACAAGAGGGAGAGAGGACGGTGGAGCGAGCAACAGGTCAACACTGCTGAGAGGAGGCGGCGGATCAGGGGAAGAGAAAGAGAGGAAGCGCGGGTTTTGTGGGGGGGGGGGGGCAGCTGGGGGACCCGCGGGAGGGCGAGGGGCTGCGGGGGGGAAGGTCCCTTTCAAGAGGGTTGAAGGTTTCCTTTTCAGTCGAGGATTGGGGAGGAAGGGGAGAGGAGGGTGACCAACACATGTGGAGGAGGAAAAGGAGGGTCTAACATATATTTTCCCATTTTTGGGGGGCTTGGGACTGGGGAGGAGGAGAAGCTTGGGAAGGGGGGACCTCTGGATTGCAATTGACGGCGGAGGATGTCGGGATCTGGATTCCGCATCTGCGAAAAGCGGAAGGAGGTTCGACGGTCAGGAAGAGGACCTGGATTGGGACTGGCGGCGGAGGATGTCGTGATCTGAGGAGGCAGTAGGAAGGGACACAGGAACGAGCAGGGATGCGGAGAGGGAAGGAAGTGGATCAGGAAGGGATCGCAACACATATACACAGCTCACCTGTCATACGTCCGTACAGACTAAGAGAGTGAGGGAGAGGGAGAGAGGGAGAGGGAGAGGAGGAGGGGGAGAGAGAACAACAGCCACGAGCAGTGTCAACTTCCCGCCTGAGTGACGACACAGATTCACACGCGGGTCGCTGGGTTCGACCAGGGGCGGGGAGAGGGAGGGGGAGACANAGAGAGAGAGAGAGAGAGAGAGAGAGAGAGAGAGAGAGAGAGAGATCCATTGAGAAAATTGTGTCTGTACGGCACACAATCGAGAGAAACAGACACAGAGAGAGAGAAGAGAGAGAGAGAGAGAGAGAGAGAGAGAGAGAGATTTCCTCTTAGGAAAGGAGAGGGAGGAGTCCTCCCTTTGGAACTGGGAGACCCCTCCGTAGTTGCTGCGGCTCACGAGTGGGGACCACGATATGACACATCCAGATGCAATTGAGAGTAGTTGAGCGTTCCCAAAGCGGGGAGAGAGAGAGAGAGAGAGAGAGGAAGGAATAATGATCGACCTGACTTGCACGCAGGAGAGAAAGAAGGAAGGACACATGGAGGAGGAGGAGGGGGGGGAGGAGGAGGAGGAAGGGGGGGAGGAGGCGGAGGAGCAAGAGAATGCAAATAGACGGAGAAGAAAGGGATCAAGAGCTGGAAATTGAGAGACACGTGGATATAGACATTGTCATGGACTCGTCAGACGATTGAATCATCATCAACATGACACACAAAGCGGGTTTGGAGGAAGCTACTTTGTAGACTCGATACAACGAATCCCCCGTTTCTCAATCGTCCCCGCGTTTTCATTCATGCTGCTCCTCTATCTAAATCCCCCGAATAGAACGCCCTGTCATTACGGCGGGATTGAAGGAGGCTACTTTATAGACTCGATACAACGAATCGGATAATGACCGTACGTTCTGTGTGCGGGTGTAGACGGAAATGACCGTACGTCTGTACGATGTACTGAGACCCCGGGTAGGAGGAAAGTGTACACATTCACAGTATAATCATCACAGGCATAAGGATGCAGAGGGAGTCGAGAGAGTCGAGGAAAAAGGTGGAGGTGCGCATAGATGGCAGTGAGCATTTATTCAGATGGCATCCACGTGGCGTGCACATGGCACTTAGGCGGCAAAATCGAGGGTGCAGGAGGAGGAGGAGGAGCAGCAGCAGCAGGAGGAGGAGGAGGAGGAGGAGGAGGAGCAGCAGCAGCAGCAGCAGCAGGAGGAGGAGGAGGAGGAGGAGGGAGTATGGATGACGAGGGCATCAACCATCGACAGTAGACGGACAGGATGAGAGAGAGAGAGAGAGAGAGAGAGAGAGAGAGAGAGAGAGAGAGAGAGGTTAGGAAACATGGAGGTTTTGTTTTTTCTTCTTTTTTTCTTTTTTTTTTGGTCTTTTTCCGCTTTTGCGCTCTGATTCACAGTGTGATAATATACTGTCAAAATTGAGATTGCAATCATTAACAGGAGGAGGAGGACAAGATGAGATGGGAGAAGAGGAGGTGAGGGCAGGGGAGAGCACTCACTGTGGCGACTTGGGAAAAACAGTAGGAGGAGAGGCAGGAGGCAGACGACGTAATACTCGAAGAAGGCAAAGGAGAGGGAGGGAGGGAGGGAGGGAGAGAGAGAGGCAAGCAAGATACTCATCACCGTCGTCGAACCATAGTTCACTTGACCACTGGAACATTCCAGGAAATTTCTGTCAAGATCGGGATCGCAGTTAGGAAGCAGAACAGGAGGGGGAGGAAGATGAGAAGGAGCACGAAGAAAGGCAGGCGATGTGCTAAGACTTGTGGATGTAAGGGGAGGTGGAGAAGGAAGCGGAGGCGGAGGAGGGGGAGGAGGGGGAGGAGGCAGAGGAGGCGTGGGGTAAGAAAACGCCAGGAAGAGGAGAGGTCCGAGAGGATGAAAGCAGGGGGAGGGAGGGGCAGGAGGCGACTGTAGAGCGGTTGTAGAAGAAGAGGCGGATTAAAGGCAGTATAAGTAAGGAGGCAGTCGGAGGAGGACGAGATGCGGCACCCTAAACATCTCCCTTTCCAATTCATATTCTCTCTCTCTCTCTCTCTCTCTCTCTCTCTCTCTCTCTCTCTCTCTCTCTCTCTCTCTCTCTC